GACCTGCAAACGGTGGCAGGCGACCTGCGGGTCGATGCCGACCATGTCCTCATGGGTCCATGCAAAGACGTCCGCGTTTTGCCGGAGGAATTCGGTCAGTTCGGCCTTCATTGGCCCCGGCAGCCTGCTCCCAATTCGGAGTTGTTTTTGGCAAGTCTCTTCATCGATGAAGATGATTTCGACTTCATCCATCGGCTCGGCCCTCTTCGTTCCCCGTTTCTCCTCGTATTGTGTCCGAGGGTCGAGCTCGTCCTCCTCCGTGATTGGCCTTTTGCCAGCCCGTCTTCCCCTGTCCCCGTCGAGGTCGTCCTCTACTCCGTCCTCGACGGGTTCCGTCATCCCGGTGCCTGGGACCAAGTTATCTGCCCCAGCGTTGGGTTCCGTGATTATGGGGTCGGCACTCGACGAGGTCGGGGGGTGCGAACCTGTCTGGTTTCCCAGCATGCGGTTGCCCCCGTGACCGTCGTGCGCCGACTCGATGTCTGCCACCCCGGCGTCCTCTTGTGAGTTTGCCACGTTTATTTCGGTGCGCGGGATGGTCAGGATGCATTCCCGTGCCTCTCTTTGGTCTCCTCGGTGGGTCCCTTCTCCATCGGGAGTTGGGAATTTGAGAGAATAATGGAAGATGGAGACGGCGGCCTTCAGTTTGTAGAGCGCCGTCCTGCCCAGTATGGCGTTGTATTCACTTGGGCAGTCCACGATTTTGAATGTTTCTAAGATCGTCTTCGTGGGCTGCCCCCTGTCTCCGAACCGGACCGGTAACGTGACCTGTCCAACCGGGACAACGGTCTGGCCGTTGAAGCCCTGGATCCGCTCCCGGCAAGGCTGCACCTCTTTCCTATCGATCCCCATCTTCTTGAAGGTCTCGTAGTAGAGGATGCTGGCGTAGGCCCCGGTGTCGACCATGATTTGGTGGATTTTTATCGCCATGATCGGCGCCGTGATCACCAGGGCGTCGGAGTGGGGATGGTCGAACAGGAAGGCGTCTTCGTCGTTGAAGGTGATGGTGTTTGGGGTCGGCTCTGGCGCCGGTCGGCTGTGGGCGTGCATCACTCTCTGCCCGGCATGGTAGGCCTGTCGGGCGTAGGCTTTGGTTTGCCTCCTGGAGAGGAGGGGCTCGCTCCGACTCGTGTTGACGCGCCGGGTTGGGAGGTTTGCCGGGTCGGCCCCGGCGCAAGGGGACCGGTCTCTTTTTCTGCCCCTGGAGGTGACGGCCTCATCTTGATGGGTGGGGCAGAAGGTCATGATCTCGTGAGGGCCGCCCTGCTGCGACTTCTTTCTTCGAGGATTCACGTCAGCATCCTCGTCACTGTCGGGGTTTTCCTCGAAACGCCCCCCTTTCTTCCTCTTATCCCCGGAGTGCGTGAACTTCCGGAGTTGGGGGTCATCGATCAGCTTCAGAAGTGCCGAGATCAGATTTCGGCACTGATCGGTGTTATGCCCGTGTGCCTTGTGGTAGGTGCAGTAGCGGGTTCTGTCTACTTTGTCCTTGTCGGTGAACATTGGCTTGGGGTCCGGCAACAACCCTTTGGCCTTAATCTCCTCGTAGACCGCCGCGGCCCCTACCGAGAAGACGCCCTAGTAGCTCTCCCTCAGCTCTTCGGCCCTCTGTCTCCGCTGAGCTCGAATCTCAGCGAAGGACTTGCTCGGCTTCCTTGATTTCTCCTCCTTTGCCTTCGCCTTTGCCGGTGCCGGTGCCGGTGCGGCGTCGAAGGTCGGGATTGATGAGGATTCCTCCGCCATGATATAATCTTGAGCGCGGGTGAGGAACTCCTGGTAGGTGGTCGGTTTGTTCTGGCACAGGGACCATCTGAACAATGTCTTCGGCCTGAGGCCGCCCTGGGCCGTAATGAGCAAGGCGTCGGGGTGGCACCGTTCCATGTTTTGGACCCGATCATTGAACCGAGCAATGTAATCCTTGAGGCTTTCGTTCTCGCCCTGCACGATGTTTGAGATGGACTCCTTGGGGGCGAGGTTGACCTGCGACCCGATGAAGTGAGATCGGAACGCCGACCTCAGCTGTGCCCAGGTTGAGATGGAGCGGGGGTAAAGGGAATGGTACCACCTCTGTGCCTTGGGCCCCAGCGTCAGGGAGAACATGCGACAGCGCAGGGCGTCGGAGGCGCCGTGCAGGTCCATCCAGGAGGTGTAGAGGCCGAGGTGGGAATCGGGATCCGAGCTCCCGTCATAGAGGCCGAGCTGCGGTATCTGTATTCCTTTTGGGACGGCTTCTTGTAGGATATCGAGGGAGAGAGGTGAGGCGTTATCCGCGACCCGAGGGGTCGGTCGCGTGTGGGTTTGTTGATGGCCTGGGAGTGAAAACTCGCTCCCGGTGAGCTGCCGACCTTCCAATTCGGCAACTCTGCGTTTGAGGGCCGCGACCTCCTCAGTGTCGTGGCCGATGGCTTTGCCTCGTCTGATCACCTCCCGGAGATCGTGGTTGGCGTGGCTCTTGTCCCCCAAGCGTTGGTGGACAGAGCGACGAACGACCGGAAGGCTTCGCTCTGGCCGGCTCTCCCCCGTCTGCTCTGTGGGAGCCGGTCTGGTACTCTTGTCGCGACGGTTCTGAGCCTCGCGGTTCGGCGATTGAGCCGTGGTTTTGGATTTTGCTGGGTTTCTCTGTCCACCGGTCTCCTTTTCAGGAGTGTGGAGCAAAGTGTTGCCGGGGTTCTCCGTGGGCACCACAGTGTTCGCCCCGGCGGCTTGACTGGCGAGGGCTTTGGCGAAGACCCCCTCGAGGGCTTTGAGGACGTCGGGGTGCTGCAAAGCCGCAGCGAAAGTAGGAACTGGGGGTACGGGGACGATAGGTCCCTGCTGAACGCGACGGGAGGACTCCCCGCCGTTGCGGCGGCGAGGCTGGGAGCCGGACTGCTGGGTGGAGTCGTCATGTCCGGATGAAGGCATTTTGAGTGGTTTTTAGAAACGAAAAAGGTGAAAAAAGATGAGTGCGATGTGTGTAACTTCACAAGATCGAAAAATTGACACCAAGTAACTTATGGTCCCCTTCCTCTAGCGCCAAACTGTTGACGGACGTTTCCGGTCAACGGTTAAAAAGTCAAATAATGGAAAGAAAACGAAGAAAAGACAAAGAAATACGGTTTAATCACGGTTTTATTAACGGGTCACGAGGTCGGCCTCTCGTACGAGGTCGGCACTTGTGATGTAATATTGCTTACAAGAGTTTCTTACAAATCTTTAGAGAGAGAAAATATGAGCTCGAGCAGTTGGGGTTCAACAACCCAAAAATAAATGAGGGAGTTGCTATTTATAGGAGACTTTAATGCGGCACTGTTTGGGTACTGTTCAGCGGTCTTATCGCACAGTAGCTCAGCGGGACAAACCGGCGCTCCTCTGACTGATTGAGAGTGATTTCCGGATTCTCCAATCATTACCTGCCATACATTTAATGCGAACGTGGGCTGCATTAAATGCGGACACGTTCTGGCTGAGTTGGACGTCCCATCGGCAATCATGCGTAGACAAGTGGCATTATTTTATTGTGTCCGACGTCACACTTCTATCAGGAGCCGCCCTTGCGAGACTTGGAACAAGGTGCCGACCTCGTGGCCGCATGGATACGGTGCCGATCTCGGGACTTGTTCCCCCCGCCATTCCAGACGACTTTGACTCTCATTCAGATCGGCACCCACGTCCGGTTTTGGTGACCGGCTCCTTCGGCTCGGATCGGTACTTACGTTGGGTCCGGACTCGGATATCAACAGTAAGATCTAAAGCTTATCTATTACCTTGTGTAACCTCCAATTTTATAGACTCTAATGGAGGGCTTAATTCCAATCAAATCCTTCCTTTTTTACTCATACTAGTATGAATCCCGTGCAATGCACTGAGTAAGAATATTAATTAATATTTATAAATTATAAATTTTTATTAAATAATATTTATAAATTAGAAATATGGAGTCAATATGTAATACAATTTACCTATATCAATTTGTTGAAAATGTTATATGAAATTTAAATATTGTGCAAAATTACATAAAACATGTCTATTTAAATTTAGTACACGACCCATACGATGCAAGTAACTGATAATAAGTTACATTATATCATTTTCAAAAATAGAGGTCATTTTAAAATTTTTATTCAAAAATTTGATTTGACTACAATGTGATTTAAGTAAAAAAACANATATATATATATATATATATATATATATATATACACACACACACACGCACACCAAATAATTTGATATGTTCCACGCACATTTACAAAGAAGAATCAACTATAGTATTGTCCAGATTTTTCTTTCACTAATCTCGGGTAAAATGCTAAGCAATATGAAAAAAAAAATCGAGATACATTTATTACCATAAGCGAGTGTATTAGTTCAATATATAGTATACCAAATAATTCGATTCATACATTATCAATAAAATACAAAAAATGATATTTAGTTTAACCACAAAATTAATTGTCCAGCGTACAAAACAAAATCAAGACTCACGTTTATTATAGATAAAAATAAAAAAAGACCTAAAAATAGTTATTAAAAAATAATTAAATAGAAACTGCCATTAACACAATTATTTTATAATAATTTTATAAGAAATTATAATTGAATAATCAACCGAACTTACACGATCTTCGTAATTAGGGTATCACATTATGCATTTAGAATCAACCTGCAAATTATTTATTTGTAAAAGCAAGCACTTTTCATCTTATATGCATAATGTAATATCCACACACCAATTTATTTATTTGTAAAAGCAAGTACTTTTCATCTACTCACACAATTGTAGGTTTCAGTTTTTAAACTATTACATCATGAAACTACAATCTTTTGCATCTTTCTTGTTTCGATTACCCGTCTCGCCTCTATATATCGAACGAGTATTAGGGTTCGAGCATGATACAATGAACTGTTCTATCGATTAAATGGCTGATGAATCAGTGTAAACACCGCAAAACTAGTCAAAATACCGTAAAAAACTCAAGCTAACACAATACAAAAAAGTTTCCCTGAGATAGAAAAGTTCATTCGGACTGTAACCTGGAAATATACTGATCATAGTATTTCGTTGCTCGTTCCAAATCTCCAAGTTCAGTATAACAATCGGTTATTGCTCCATAAGCTTCCATATTCCCAGATTCTTCTCCTTCCCTTTATGATATTTCAAGAACAAGTAAGTGGTACTTTATGGCCTCACGGAATTTGCATTGTCTTTGCAGTGATGCCCCTAAAAAAAGGGATAATTGTTTTCTTATAACCGGTCAACAATAAATATTACGGTATATAACTTAAAAAGGATCAACTGAAAACTAAAGGGTCTGAAGATACAGGCTAAATAAGTTTTGTAGTCACGTAACTGACCCCTTTTTTGCTTTTAGTCCTAAAAAATTTGTGTTTTTTGAAATGGTTCTATAAGTTAAAAAAAAAATTGTTTTTTGGTCCTCTGACCGCCTATAGTAGGTCAGATTTACCAGCTGGCCTACGTGGAGTTTTATTTATTTTTTATTGTTTTTTTGTTGACGTGACAATAAGGTGGCAGAATTGTGAAAAAAATGCAAGGATGGGGATCGAACCTTGGATCTCTTGAACAAAAGAGACACCTTTGCCACTTGATCTACATCATTTGATGTGAGAGAGAGAGAGAAGGGATCATATGAGAAAGAAGGATAGTGAAAGAAACGAGAATAAGTCTGGACCATAGGATCAAGCATATCAATGGTTATGATGAAGTTAAACTATGGTCAATCATTAATAGCAAGCTGGTAATTAATTGATCATATTGTGGTCAAATATGTGCATTTGACCAATAATTAAGGTAAGTTAGTCAATACCTATATTATGCGAGTGTTGATACCCAATTTGGTTCCGATTAATTAAATGATAAACGAAATACGGCCCAATAATCGAGGGGCCGAAAGTACGTAATAATTAAATATACAAACAGGTTCTCAAGACTAATCACCCGAAAGCCGGTCGGATCCCTCGATGTCGAGTTCGCCCGCTGCCGAGCCGGATAGAGTTCAAAGTAAGCGGATGGCCCGCATTTCATGAAGAAGCTACCTTTGGTCAATGCCATAATAGCCGAAAAGATAAACGTCAACCGGGACCGTCGAAGGTCGTAAGCGGGTCCCACGATAATCATCTTATATTAAATAATAGTGTATTATTTTGTTGTCCCACTTGTAAAAAAAGGGCCATATATATATGAATGGCCTTAACAAAAAGGGGGGATTCCATTCATTTTTTCTCCATCTTCACCAAGAACTCAAAGGAGAGAGAAAATACTCTCAAAAAACATAAGAAATAAAGCACCCATTTTCATCTACTTTGTTCTTCATTTTCATACAATAGTTCGATTTATATTTAACAGTTGGTCGTCCGATTTTCGACATCAACAGTTTGGCGCTAGAAGGAGGGCTCCGTAATTTGCTCGGAGTCAATTTTCACCGGAAACGGCCACATCCCCAACGAGATAAGACCACTCTAGGTTAAGCAAGATATTCGTATTTTTTCCCTAATTCTTCTGCGTTGGCTACTCTGTTCTTGCACTTTTTTTTGCACTCTTTTTCATCACTCCAAATTATGTAAAAGACTTGGAGATCCGAAATTTCATTTGGCAGGTGGTGATCTAAGAGCTTCTCTTGAATGGGCAAAAAGCCCACACAAAATCATTCCTTTAATTTTCTTTCCATGATCTTTTGATTGAAATAAATATAAAATCTCGCATCTTGTTCGTTGTAAACACGCAGCTACAATTTCCTTTCGTTTCTTACTTTCCTTTGTTGTCCTCTGTTAGCAGAATGAAAAATTAAAATAATACCACTTGGCCACTTGGCCACAGTTGAGCCACATGGATATTACTGTTGCTGTCAGTACAATCCTGTTTATATCATATCATCCGAAATATATAATAAAATAAAAATAAAAAATAAAAATAGCAGTAACAAAAAAGAAGGGAATACAGAAGTTCCACGCCGACTCTACACTGAAGCTCGGCCCGACATACCACAAAAGCCGGGCTACTCGTTACAGAAGTCAGAGAACGGCCACCACGGCCAAACCTCACATTACCGAAACCCCGACACCTCCGATCTCGCAGCTACAAGCGCCGAGCTCGCCTCCGATCTCGCAGCTACAAACGCCGAGCTTGGTCAACTTCACAACACCGGTTGAACGCAACTGAACACCGAAGTCCGGGCTGACCCGAATCCACAACCACGACTCGACGCAGAGCTCGGACTCCGAAACACCCAAGCTCGGGCTGAGCCGACATCACAGCCGCAGCCGGACGCCGACCTCGAACTTCAAGGCCATCAGTCGTCGGGGACAACCCCAAAGCCGGCCAACCTTTCTTCCTCATCCGCTGACGGGCTCCGAATTGCAGCTGGCCGACCATATACCCGATCTCTTCCAGCCCGACAGACCACATCTATTCAAGTCGGCCGAGTTCACACACACGCCGACGACGGGCTGAGCATGACACCACAGCCGGGTCTCCGACCTCACGATCGCCAATGCCGACCTCGCCTTGCCGGAGCCCCAACATTTCTGACCCCAGTCACCGGGGGCCGACCTCAATTATCCCAATCTCACAATCGTCGTGCCAAGCCATATGGGACGGCAGGTCTGTGCTCGTCACTTCAGGTCGGCACCATACCCAAACATCACGTCGTACGAGGTGAACTCACATCCTTGCCACTTCCGGCCTACCATCACCGCCGGGTCGACCCCGTCACAGCCCGGATCCACCAAATCACAGACCGAGACCCGACCTTGCCGCCCACCGAGTCGAGCCGACACACCACGGTCGCCGACCGGCAAGTTTCACAACCGTCGACCCAAAATGCGCCTTCACCATCATCAAGCTTCAAATCGCGAGCCAAGCCTCCGAATCGTAAGTGCCAACCTCGTAATTGCCGACCTCACAACAATCAGTTTCTAAGCGGGTCGACCTCGTCGATCTCAATCGCCAAGCCCCCGATCTGCTGCTGGGGCCAGTCTCACCGTCACCGACCTAGCTGCCGCCAACCTTACCTCCTCGGAGCACCACCGCCCACACCGCGCACAGGCGACAGTTAAATCGCAGTTGAACCTCCTACCTGCAACTGGAGCCGAATTCGCCATCTCCGACCTCAAATTGCAGCCCGGGCACACCGCACGATCCGATTCTCAGGCTCAATCGAACACGCCCCTTGAATTTCAGCCCTCTGCCGGAAAAGCCGATATGAGATAATAACGCCGATCTGGGGTAGGAATAGAAGAGGCCTCCTTTTGTATTTTGCAAATAATTAGTAATGATTTGGGTCTGGTAATATGAAACTGATTTGGGCCTAGTGGTTAAATAAGTATGGGCTTATAAAGTTCTTATTTAGAGAGCATAAAGAATTGGGCCTAAAGTAATAAATAGAATAAGATAGAATTAGGCCCAGAAAAATGTTGTAATAAATAGAATAGATGTAAGAAATAGAATTAGGGTTGACAGCGTCCCGACTGACAAGCGATCCAAGTCTCGAAATCGAAGAACTCGGCAGGACCTCTCCAGACAATAATAAACTCTGCACCGGCCTCAGGTAACACTACTTTCAATTTCACTTTAAATACTTACATGTACATATGTGTATACATATGCATAAAAATAATAATATCAAATAGATAAATAATAATAACAGTGGAAATATGTATATATATATATATATATATATGATAATAATAAATAATAGACATGCATACGTATATATATATATATACATGAATAAAAATATACATCGAACCTCACTCGTAAAAGTCGAGCCGAGACGGGAAGGATTGGGGGAGTTGGTCTGCTGCAAGCCTTCGGGATAGGCATGATCGTTCCCCTAATACTTCTCAGTCTCGGAAAGTCACGAGGTCTTCGAGCCGTGACGATATTATCTCACCCGCCATTGAGTACTCGCTTCGGCGAGGCCGACGTTTCCATCCAGTCCGGCAACGAGCCCCTGCTCTGCCGGGCTGACATCGTTATTTCGCCCGCCGTTGAGCCCTCGCTCCGGCCAGGCGGGCGTTTCCATCCAGTCCGGCGAGGAGCCCCTGCTCTGCCGGGCTGACGCCGTTATTTTGCCCGCCGTTGAGCCCTCGCTCTGGCCGGGCTGACGTTTCCACCCAGTCCAGAGACGAGCCCCTGCTCTGCCGGGCTGACGTTGTTATTTTGCCCACCGCTGAGCCCTCGCTCCGGCCGGGCCGACGTTTCCATCCAGTCCGGCGACGAGCCCGTGCTCTGCCGGGCTGACGTCGTTACATCGCCCGTCGTAGAGCCCTTGCTCCGGCCGATGTCATTATCCAGTCCGGCGACGAGCCCCTGCTCTGCCGGGCTGACGTCGTTACATCGCCCGTCGTAGAGCCCTCGCTCCGGCCGATGTCATTATCCAGTCCGGCGACGAGCCCCTGCTCTGCCGGGCTGACGTCGTTACATCGCCCGTCGTTGATCCCTTGCTCCGGCCGATGTCATTATCCAGCCCGGCGACGAGCCCCTACTCTGCCGGGATGACGTCGTTACTTCGCCCGCCGACGAGCCCCTGCTCTATCGGGCCAACGTAATTATTACTCCCACTGCCGTCTTGCCTTCGCTTCGGCCGAGTTAATATCTTTATCTCTCCCGCCGACGAGCCCGAGCTCCACCAGGCCTGTCGACACTTCGCTGGCGCAACGAGTCCCTGAGAGCAAGCCTCAACCCCGCAGACGAGCACCATGAGCCGAGCTCATAAACGCCGCACGTGACAGACGAAACATGAGATACGCCAAATCCCAAGTCAAACCATTCTCATATCACGTCAACAACGTTCTCCTACACGAGGCCTACCGACTTGAACACCTGGGCGGCACGCGCCCATCAATACCCATAAAACTCGACGTTTCTGCAGAAGTCCTACCAATAGGTCTAGGCTATTCTCACTCAAAGAGTGACGTTATTATATAGATCATCCGATGAGCTAGGTCAAGAATGTAATTTACCTTTTGCTTTTAGAGGCTAGGTCGTCTTAGGCTTAGATCGAGTCGAAGCGGCGTAATTAATGTAAGGAACGAAGTGTTGGCTAGGATCAGTACGATGACCTAGTCGGCACTAGCCGGGCTCAACTAGGAAGCCCGGTCAGGCCAGTAATACCACCGAGTCCGAACGCGAGACCGGTCAGGTAAGCTGCCACATAATTATGTGCAGGTCGGGTCAGTACGATGGCCTGGCCGGCACGAGCCGGGCTCGGCAAAGTAGCCCGGTAAGGCCAAAGTCGCCAACGTAAGAAATGAATAACGAGCTCAAACGCGAAGCTCAGCAAGGCCAGACCGTCGCCCGATTCAACGAGCAAGTCGGACAGGTAACGCGTCAAAGTAATTAATAAATGCCGAGCCCGATCACGAGGCTCGACCAAGTAATAAATTCACGCGGGTCGGGTTCAGTGCGATGGCCCGGCCGGCACAAGCCAGGCTCAATCACGTAGCCCGATCAGGCAACAATCGCCAACATAAAAAATGTAATAAATAAGCGCCGAGCTCGATCATGAAGCTCGGCCAGGCCAGACCACCACCCGACCCAACGAGCGGATCGGATGGGTAGTGCGCCATCGTAATCATTAGTGCAATAAATTGCACAAGCCGGACTCGACAAAGGGGCCCGATTAGGCCGAAACGCCGTAAAACTAAAGGCCTACGAGCCATAAGGCCGAAACGCCGTAAAACTAAAGGCCTACGAGCCATAAGGCCGAAACGCCGTAAAACTAAAGGCCTACGAGCCATAAGGCCGAAACGCCGTAAAACTAAAGGCCTACGAGCCATAAGGCCGAAACGCCGTAAAACTAAAGGCCTACGAGCCATAAGGCCGAAACGCCGTAAAACTAAAGGCCTACGAGCCATAAGGCCGAAACGCCGTAAAACTAAAGGCCTACGAGCCATAAGGCCGAAACGCCGTAAAACTAAAGGCCTACGAGCCATAAGGCCGAAACGCCGTAAAACTAAAGGCCTACGAGCCATAAGGCCGAAACGCCGTAAAACTAAAGGCCTACGAGCCATAAGGCCGAAACGCCGTAAAACTAAAGGCCTACGAGCCATAAGACCGAAACGCCGTAAAACTAAAGGCCTACGAGCCATAAGGCCGAAACGCCGTAAAACTAAAGGCCTACGAGCCATCAGGCCGAAATGCCGTAAAACTAAAGGCGCACGAGCCATGAGGCCGAAACGCCGTAAAATTAAAGGCCTACAAGCCATAAGGCCGAAGTGCCCTGAAACTAGAAACCGAACTCTAAAAACAATTCGGCCCAACCAGATATGCGACAAGGTGCGCTCATTTATCATACATTCATCACTTACATTCATCACATACATTCATCATACATTCATCACATACATTCATCATATATTCACGCATTCCACCTGTGATCGCATTGTGCATACAGTCTCGTAAGGAATAAAGAGCTCAAAGCTCAATCGAACAAAGAGCTCAAAGCTCACTCAGACAAAGAGCTCTAAGCTCACTCATGTCGACAATTCAAAATGCATTCCTGCATAAAAACGGGTACCAAGTTACCCGACCATGCCGCTCAGGCCCCACCCAATAGCAAATTCGCAAAATTGTCCATTCTCTCAAACTGATTCAACTCGTCAAAAGATTAAAAAGCGCGATTATCGTAAATACGTCAGGCAAAGCTTGAAATGATCAACAAAACACGCAAGGGTCCCAAAGAGCCCGAAAACAACACAACAACGATCCAAGTAACCAAAGTTACTCGATAAAGATTAAATGAGTCCTCGAGATGCATAAAGTAAAAGCCGACAAGATAAATGTGATCTCTTGAATCACGTGAAAATTATCCGACACGCGCACTCATCGGCGTGATTGCGGTTTCACCAATATCTCTCATTACGCGTAAATTCTAACGCCATAAAAAGAGCTCGAAGCTCAAAAGATCATGAGGCGAAAACATTACCAAATTGTAAAAAATAAACGTGACTTCAGAACAGTTCAATCTAGAACATGTCCTAAACTCGGGGGCCTCCTGTTGATACTCAATTTGGTTTCGATTAATTAAATGATAAACGAAATACGGCCCAATAATCGAGGGGCCGAAAGTACGTAATAATTAAATATACAAACAGGTTCTCAAGACTAATCACCCGAAAGCCGGTCGGATCCCTCGATGTCGAGTTCGCCCGCTGTCGAGCCGGATAGAGTTCAAAGTAAGCGGATGGCCCGCATTTCATGAAGAAGCTACCTTTGGTCAATGCCATAATAGCCGAAAAGATAAACGTCAACCGGGACCGTCGAAGGTCGTAAGCGGGTCCCACGATAATCATCTTATATTAAATAATAGTGTATTATTTTGTTGTCCCACTTGTAAAAAAAGGGCCATATATATATGAATGGCCTTAACAAAAAGGGGGGATTCCATTCATTTTTTCTCCATCTTCACCAAGAACTCAAAGGAGAGAGAAAATACTCTCAAAAAACATAAGAAATAAAGCACCCATTTTCATCTACTTTGTTCTTCATTTTCATACAATAGTTCGAATTATATTTAACAGTTGGTCGTCCGATTTTCGACATCAACAGCGAGGCGAGGGCGGCAGTGGTGAATGCAACGGAGTCGGGGATGGTGGTAGCGAGTGTGTATCATGTGTATGTGAAGTGTGTGTACTCTGTATGTGTGTGTGTGTGTGTGTGTGTGTTGGTGTGTGAGATAAGAGTATATGGTGGGTTGGGTTGAGTGGGATGGGGGGTTGGGCCATGGATGTTTAGGGAGATTGTGAGTAATGTCCATAATTCCCTTAATAAATGTAAAAGTGTAGTTTTTTGTTTTTGCCCTTGGATTGTTCGATCTAATGGACACGGTGTATTCTTATTTCTTTCACCGAGTATCATTATAGATATGTATATAGAGAAGAGTAGATAGTGAAAGAAATAAGAATAAATATGGACCATGGGATCAATCATATAAATGAGTATAATTAAGTCAAACTATGGTCAATCATTAATGGTATTCTGGCAATTATTTGATCATATTGTAGTCAAATATGTGCATTTGACCAATAATTAAGGTTAAGTTAGTCAATACATATATTTTGTGGGACCCACTCACCAATTAATCACATTATTTCACTTTCATCATCATCTCTCTTTATTTTTTCACACAATCTGATTTCACACAAACACACACACAATTCAGCCCGCCACCGGTGCACCACACCCCAGTCACTGGAATTCCTCCGCTGCGACCAGTCCATCGTGCTTCCCCTCGACTGACCCATCTCGCCTCCACCCTCCCCGTTCGCAGCCGCCACAAGTCCACCACACCACAGCCACCAGGATTCCTTCGCCGCCACCAGAATTCCTTAGCCGCCGCCAACCCACCGTCTCCACTCGACTGAGCAATTGTGACTCCAACAATCCAACGCCGTCCCTCGTGGGATACCAATCACATTTTAGTAACAAATCAACATGCCACGACTGGGACGAGACCTCATGCAGGTCAATAATCAACATTCTTCTCTATTTTTTATTTGATCGATTGGGATTTTAAAATCAGTTGGCTTATGTTCTTTTTTCCCCCAATTGTTGAAGTGTGCAATTCGTTAATTAGGGCTTTTCAGAAGCTATAGTTTATGTTGAATTGGAGTTTTTCTTGACATTATTGACTTGTTAATTTTTTAGATATTGGTTTGTTAGCAGAACTAGTTTGGAAATTTTGTTCCTTTGAATAGTTTATGGTAAAGAAGAATTGCTTGATAAACTTGTAATTGTAACACGACCGAGTAAATACACCGATCACTTCACATAGATGTCGTTTTTCGTCCGTGAGTTGCAGTTGAGCATCGTGCGAGCATATGTGCGGTTTCAAGTTCATAGCTCTACTGTTAGGTTTTATCTAACAATCCGAATGAAATTACTCACTCTGAGATTTGTAAGGTTAGAGTGAAATAGAAGTCTGGTGTTAACGTTTTATTTAGCAATTGAGTAAATGAAAATATTGCTTATGTATTGGGAGATAAGTAAGGTTAAAATGATAAATAAGCTTGACATGTCTCACATTGAAGCAAAACTGTGGGAAACAGTACCTTTGGAGTATCGATATGTTGTGTTCTGCTTTGAGATTGGAATCATACACCATAGTTCAAAGCATAATAAAACCAGATAGACTGAGAGTAAGAGAGCTTATAACAGTCCTTCCATAAGTATACAGAGTGTACAAAGTCCCACAGAAGAATCCATTAGGTGATGATTCGTTCACTGTAATACATTACACTCCCAACATCCACGGGCAATGGCCTACACAACAAAGACCTGACCAAAAANAAAAAAAAAAAAAAAAAAAAAACAATTAATAAGCAACACTTTTATTAGTACTATCCCATCATCAAGTGTTTCCACAATCAATACTAGCCTATTGGGTAAATTCGACCAGGACGTAGCAGGTGTAGATTCTGAATCAGAATAGTCCCACTCATTAGCCGAGCTCGATTTGTCCGAATAAACAGCGTCCCACATCTTCAACCCGATAATCGAGTCGGGCTCATGAATTTTCATACACAGCTCAAGTGAAGAAGATTTCAGCAACTGTCCTTCATTTGTGAATTTCCACTTGAGGGTTCTTTCAAGACAGGCTTTTTGCAACTTCAGGGGGCCCACTTTCTCTGCCACAAGAGTTCAGTTTTCCTGGTTTCAAATTCAGCTCGGCATTTTCTTTATTATCGCTGGTGATGGATGAACTCCAACAAATGTGGGAGGCCCCACCATCTTCGCTCGAGCTGTGGTGGTGTTTGTGCTCGATCAACAAACCAGGCGGAGTTCGAGCTTTATTATCCCCTTCCTCTCCGACACCGGCCGTCGCACAGCCCACCTGCTGCCGACGGAGCTTATCTCGGTCGTCGACATACACCTCAACGACGAAATGTTATTCTCCAAAGTCCCGCTGTCGGCGTTTTGCTCCTGAAGCTCTTGATTTAGATTGTGAAATTTGATTTGTGGATCTTGATTGCAGATTGTGAAATTTGATTTTGTGGTTTTATTGTTTTAAATTAGATTAACTGCTCGTGAAGCTCTTGATTTCAGATTGTGAAATTTGATTTGTGGATCTTGATTGCAGATTGTGAAATTTGATTTTGTGGTGTTGTTACTGTAAATTAGACTAACATTGGGATTTGTCTTGGAAATTTGATAATAAGCAGGGACCTAATCGAAATATTTTCATAATTTTTAATATAGTATAGTACAATTTAGTTCATAGGCAAATTTGTAATTAATCGAAATATAATTCGTAATTTAACATTTTCATATTTTTACATAAATAAATAATACTTTTGCATAAAAAATATAAATAAAACAATTATAATATTTTTAATATAGTTCAGCCATTTGGTTATTCAAATATCAAAAAAGTCAATACATTGAATTGAAATAATTGATTTTTTTTTTTAAATTAAAAAATAAAATAATTGAACCGAAATATAAAATTTTGAAGCAAAAATTTTAGTTTGGTCGAGTTAGTTAGATATTGTGCAATCCGATGATAACTAATGTTCAATTATTATAATTGTAATGTGCAACGTAATGTTTTATAAAGTGCAACGTGTTGATGTATAAAGTGCACTACTGTAAATTTGGTATGTTAGCATGGTTGTGTTTTATGTGGACACATGCTGTGATGAGTGTTAAAATATTGGGAAATTTACCTAGGGCACGATATAATATGCTTTTAATTGTATATCTATGAGACATTATTTTTAATTGGAAACATACGGTATTTATCCATCCCAACACAAATCAATGCCAACATCAACGTTGCATAATCTTTCTATGTTTCTTTTTTCCTACAGATCTATGTCATTCCTTTTTTTTTTCTCTCTCTCTCTCTTTTTTTTTGTTCTTATTTTTTCTTCATAGATCTTTCTCCCCCTGCAACCGAAAGCTCAAGGAACTCGCCGCCCTCCGCTTGTCCTCGCCTCCGCCGGAATTTTTTGCGCATTCTACAAATCTCTAAAACCGCTCTTCATCTTCCAGCGTCGTACGTCTACAGGAAAACTCGTTCTCGAGGCGGAAAATTTCATTGGCTTTGTGCGGGGCGCCTAGTCCTCGAACTCCCATCGCTTGTGGATCTTGCACCGACGGCGGGCACATCTCGCAGTGATGAGACCTTGAATTGATTGCTCGTCCAACGGTGAAACGTTTAATTTTGATTTTTTTATGCGGGAGTTCAATTAGGGCTTGAGTAATGTGGATTAATTGGGAATTTTTCCGCACAAATGAAGATGGATAAGAAATTTGAGGCTTGAGTAATGTGGATTAATTTCAACGCCTGGATCTGAAGTTATTTTCAGTATATGTTCTGTATATGTTCGGTATACATATATAAACTCAGAAAATTAGAGTTATTTTTCAGTATATGTTCTATATATGTTCGGTATACATATGTTCTGTACATGTTCATCTGGATCTGGTATTATTTTTTAGTATATGTTCTGTATATGTTGGGTATATGTTCGGTTACGGAGGCCGAATCGGGTTACGGAGGTTAAAACGGGTTCGTCGAAGGTCTCGTCCATGGAGAGAGTCCGGTCGATGAGGGTTATGGAGGTTGAAATGGGTTCGTCGGGTCTCGTCGAAGGTTGAAACGGATTACTCATATAATTTTTTATGGTCAAGTAGGCATGTTTGCAAATAAATTTTGTAGTTAGTATTTTTACAAATATTTATGAAACACTAAGGTAAGTATGTAAATAGCCCTAAAATATTATGTAGATCCATTTTTCAATTTATGTTGTGTGGTATTTTAGAGTGTGGTGAAAAAATTTAAATTGTTATTTATAAAGTGTAACATGTTGTGTTATAAAGTGCAACACATTGTTTTATAAAGTGCACTAGTGTATACGATCGCGGATATATTATGTGTATTAAAAAATTATTTAAACTTATTTAGTATTTTATATTACGTGTATTCAAAAATTATATGTAAATTGTTATTATTATAAATTATACTAGTACGTAGCCCGTGCGATGCACATATCTGAGTTTCCAGATGGCCTGTCCATTAGGTTTAAAAAAATAGAGTTAGATCATCTATTTTACATCTCTTTTAATCATCGTTATTTTTTTTGGCATAATGTTAAACCTCAGCCTATTAGCTCTAGTATGTAATTTAATTATTAGCTATAGTATGTAAATTAATTAATATATTATCTCGCTAAAACGTTGATACTAATATAAATTTGATTTTATTATATATATTTATTCGTTAATATAAAAAATAATAGTTTTACATATTCTGATATAATACTTAATTTATTATTTTATCATAAAATTTATTGTCATTATAATGTTTTACTAAATATTTTAGAAAATAAAAAAAAATATTTATCTATTTACAAACTCATTATCTCGAGTTTGAAACCATAAATTTTATTCTTAAAATAAAATTTGGAAAATTTTAACTTGTAATCAGAGATGAATTTAATTGATTGGAAATTCCTAATCCACCTCAAATTTATTTTGTGAAAAAAAGGCTATCCAAAATGTTTATACCAAGAGTCCTAATATTTTTAAATTGCAAAAAGTCTTCATGCAAAATATCTCCACTGACTTTGGCGGACCACAATATCGTATCGTATTTGATTCAACAAATTAATTAATTTTAGGAAGTGAATAGTTGTATATGTATATGGAAGAAATTTGAAAATTCAAATTTCAAAACCAATACCACAATATCGTATTTGATTCAACAAATTAATTAATTTTAGGACGTGAATAGTTACCTATGCATATGGAAGAAATTTAAAAATTCAAATTCCAAAACCAATATAGTATGTAATGGGTTTATACCAAGTTCTCAATTTTTTCAAAATTGTATAAATCATTCATGCAAGGAATCTTCACTAATTTGGGGACCAACAAATTACTTAAATTTAGGAAGACATAAATTGTGTACGTGGATACTGTTTCTGTTGTATGCTTAAAGAAAATAAATTCCGAACGCGATATGGTGTAATGCACTGTACATTAAAGTGCAATTACTAAAGTTCTATTAAATTATAGATTTGACCCATGAACTCAATTGTCATATAATTAAAATTTATAAAATTGCAAATTGGTTCTAATTCCTATCTAATTTTTAAGTAAACACCGAAGCCCCAGATCTGATTTTGGACTTTGACGACCGGGGTGTTCAACATCTGCCAGTGGTTGCCGGCGAGTCCAGCCATCGGGATGCGAGAATAGGACGTCGTAGAGGCCGAATTTGATTTCAATTTTGACGTGGGAGGAGAGGTCGTCAGGCGGCCGATCCATGGCAGGGCTTCGAGGTGAGAGGTGAGTTTTGATGAAGACGAATGATTGATTAGGTTTCTTGTCGCTGATGAAAAAGATGGAGGCGGAATAGGCGGAGACGGCGGACGCGGAGGCGTAAGGATCTCTGAATCGCTGTTCTTCTTCCAGCGACGGAGTGAAATCCGCTAGTCTTCTTCCAGCCCCGGACGGAATATGCGGCAATGGCAGGAGCCGGATCTCTGAAATCCGCTAGTCTTCTCCAGTGACGGAGGAGCGAGGCGGTGGCGACGAAGAGAGCGGCGGCCGGCGAGATGCAAACGGCGGTCGGCCGACTGAATTCTGACCGGCGGGAGGATTGGGGTCGGCGTGTGTAGTGTGTGCAGTGTGTATGCGTGCGTGTGTGGGGTGGGGGCAGCTTGTATGTATGTAATACCTAATTTACCCTTAATCACTATAAATGCTAGGCTTTTTTTTAACCCTTGGATTGTCGGCTTCGATGTATTCTTATTTCTTTTACTGAGCATTATTTTCGGAGCGTGACCCTATATATATATAATACAAAACTGTGATATATAGCCTTATAAATAAAATCTAAATTATTTATCAAACTATATTAACATATATCAAATAAAATTATATTTTATCTTATAAAGCAATAGAAATTTAGTATATTAACATACCATAATATGGTTATTTTCTTTAGAAAAAGATATATTAAACTAAGTATGAACATCAAATTTGTATAAAAAAAAGAAATATTCTAAAAGTTTATGTCTCGACTTAAATAAATACTACATAGAAATTGAACATTATGACCGTAAAAAGGAGTAAATAAAATTATAATTAAAATTGTTAAAATAATTATTTTATTTTATAAAATTTAAAATATTACAACCATACACATTATATTGAATGATATAAAGTTGAAGATATTTTAAAAAATATTAAATCATGGAGAAAAAATGTATAAATATAAAATATAATTACAATATAATCAAATTTAAATTTTTTTAAATTAATTCAAAATTAATTTATTGAATTCTAGATATATCCCTCTTATATATAATTTCAGAACGCGTCGAGCCTAGCAGCTTTGCACGCTTCGTAATCTTACGTGGCTGGATAAAAATTACTAATTTTTTTTATATCAAATAACTTAGGTTTGGATTGCTATATGTACATGTATTTAATATATTTAAACTATTCCACATAAATTTATTTATTATTTTGTTTCTACAATTTGCATAATATCTTACTTTCCAAATTTTGCGTTTTATTCATATTATTCTCTTATGTGTTTTAAATGAAAATATTATAAATAAAACTAATGATGTATATAAATTAATTTTCAGAACTTAAAATAACATTGTTAATTCACTTAGTTATTTATTATTAATTGCTATATATTTTTTCTTATTTATTTTTTCCAACTTCAACAAAATATGTAAATATTTTATTTCAATTTTTATTGTACATTTAATTATTTTATCAATCACGCGTGTAGTCCACGGGTAGTACAAGATATTGCATAATGATGATCTTATATTGATGTCCATTTTGTATATATAAAATTTTAAAAAAAAACAATATGTACTTTTTTAAATAAGAATGTTTATATGAATTCTAATTAATACATATTAAAATTATAACCTATGAGTTAAAATAAATTACAATATCAAATATAATTTTTTATAAAGGGTTGATAAGTAATAAAATTTAAAAATTGAATTTAATGTATTATGAATGAGTTTTGTGGTGCGGATATCAATTTTAAGTATAGATGTATTGCATTTTTATGAAATAGTTTAAAAAAATAAATTTTAAACTTCTATTTTTATTTTTACTTTTTAAGAAATTGTGTGTATAAAAAAACTATTAACTACCACGATACTACAATTGCAACTAGTTATCATAGGTGAAAATAAATGGAAAGAACGTTAAGTTGATCCACTCCTCGCAATTTCCTTGCGACACAGGTAATTTCTTTGATAATCAATCGCAATTACAACAATTGCAATCCACATTTCACATCCCACAGTTACCGCCATGAACAAACCCTCCTCCACCCTCTGCGGCCGCCTCAGCCATCTGTTTCTACAGAAGCCCACTTCCGCCGCCGTGGCCCCGACCGTCCGAGATCAAAATCTCCTAAACTTCGCCAACCAATTCAAGAAAGAGTCGAACTCCCCAGGCTTCCGCCGCAATCGCTCTGTATACAAGTCCGCCGTCCGGCGCCTCACCCACGCCGGCGAGTTCTCCGCCGTCCACGACATCCTCGACCATCAGAAGCGCTACCCAGACATCAAAGACGAGCACTTCACTGTCCGCCTTATTTGCCTCTACGGTGAGGCCAAGATGGTGGACCATGCCCAGAAGCTGTTCGACGAAATGCCCCAGTTAAATTGTCCACAAACGGTAATTTCCTTTAATGCCCTTCTAGCTTCCTGCTTACCTTCTAGACGTTTCTGGAAAATCGTTGAGCTTTTCCGGGAGTTACCTGGGAAATTGTCCATAAAACCAAACACCATCTCTTACAACTATGTAATTGGCGCTCTTTGCGAAATGGGGTACTTGGATGAGGCCTTGCAGATGCTAAAAGATATGGAGGAAAACGGTGTTGAGCCAAATGTGGTCGCGTTCGACTCTCTCTTGGGCGCGTTTTACTGCAGTGGTATGTTCAAGGATGCGGAAAATATATGGGAATTAATGTTGGGGAAGAGAATTGTTCCTAATTTGAGATGTCATAACTGGAGACTTCATGGCTTATTGGGAGAAAAACGATTACAGGAGGCTATGGAGCTGTTGAATGGTTTGGAGGGGAAAGGGTTGAAGCCGAATGCCCACACTTACAATATGATGATTAAGGCGAACGAGGGAAATTTGG